CAGAGAAAGAATGCTTAATAATTGATTTAAGCAACAGTCATTGATGGATGCTAAAATCATTAGAAAATTAATGGAACTTCACACTGGAAGGATGTCTGCCATCACCTGTATACTTCAATCAATCTTAGATGCTGAAAGGTGGGACAGCTATAAATTATGTCATCTGATGTGATGCAATTTGAACTACAGAGTAATATTTAGGTAGTGTATTTCTGTGAAGGAATTAAACAATGAATTTGAATCTAATCGAGCTTTTGGCTCCAATTTCCAGGTTATAGGAAATAAAGAGAAACAAACACAAGAGCCCTGGCCCAGTGGCTTCGTTGGTTAGACCATCACCCTGTATACCAAAAGGTTGTGGGTTTGATTTCCAGTCAGGGCACATACCTAGGTTTTAGGTTCCCCAGTCCAGGCGTGTATAGGAGGCAGCCAAGTGATGTTTCTCTTACATCAATGTTTCTGCTTCTTTCTCTCGCTCTCTCTTACCCCCCCTCCCTTTTCCCTTCCACTCTCTAAAAATCAATGTAAAAATGTCCTTGGGTGTGGTTTAACAACAACAACAAAAAGAAACTTCTGAGAAACTGATATAGACAGAGGAGACAACTGTAACTGGGACAGAAAAGGAATATTAGATAAAAACTAAAGAAATCTAAATACATATGGGTTTTAGTTAATGATATATAGATTTTGGTTCACTGTAAGATGTTAATATAGGGGAAATTGTGTATAGGATGAGTTTAATATATGAGCTCTGTCCTACTCCTATCTGCTCAATTTTTCTGTAACCTATTTTCTAAAATATAAAATATATTTTTTAAAAAGCTATAGCAACAGAAATTTGCTTAGCCTACCATAGCCAAGTGAACAATGGAAAAAAGCAACATCATCAGCTTCCTGATTACATGTACTAAGGACACATCATCACTATGTAGTGTTTTCTGACAAAAATTTAAACCAGAATCAATAAAAGACAAAGAAAGGATGAGGACTGGTTCTAGATTAGAGGCTAAAGACACACCACAACCAAACACAAATCATGATCTTTTCTGGACCAGGAAAAAAACATATAAAGAACATTATTGGAAAGATTGGCAATATTCAAACATGAGCTATAGATTAGTGAATAGTAGTATAACAATTTTAAACTTCCTGATTTTGTTCATTATACTGTGGTTATATAAATGAACATACTTAAGAAATTCACAGTTAAGTATTTAAAGGTAAAAGGGCATAGTATTTACAACTTCTAAGTGGTTCAGAAAAATATAAAATTGTGGTAAAATGTTAATGAATCTGGGTGAAGGGAGTATGGGAGTTATTTGTACTATTCTTACAACTTTTCTTTAAATTTAAAATTACTTCAAATAGTTTTTTTTAAACTATAGCAATGACAACTTGAAAAGGAATGGATAGAACCAGTGTGGCAAAACGCTGATAACAGCTGAATCTATGGGATCAAGGTATGGGGGTGTTTGCTATTCTCTGTACTTGTGTATGTTTGAAAACTTTAAGCTCCCTGTCCCCCCAAGAAAGGTAAAACATATATATATATACATTCATAAACACGAAAAACCAAACACAGGCACAAATCCTCAAACCTCCCAGACATTCTCTGAATTCCAAGCACTACTCAGACCACTCACTCCAAATCCTCTCAGCACTTTGTGAAATGATTGCTAAATGCAAAATTGTTTTCGTAATTCTAATCCTTTAGATTTTATGCTCACAAAGATAGGAAGATGTTTTCTTATTATGCCTCCTCATAAAGTGACTAAATAGTGTTTTATGCTATAGCCTAAAAAGTTTGGATATGTATATTTAATTTCTCTACATTATATTGTTTATGTACCTTAAAATAAGCATATTTCAAGCTAGTATTTAATGAATACTTGGGGGAAAAAATACCTACCCAGTTTGGCTTAGTGGATAGAGCATCGGCCTGAGGACCAAAGTCTCCCGGGTTTGATTCTGGTCAAGGGCACTTACCTTGGTTGCTTGGTTCCTGTCCTCATTTTTCTAGGCCCTGGTTGGAGCTCAGGCAGGAGGCAACCAATTGATGTGTTTCTCTCACATTGATGTTTCTCTCTGACTCTCCCTCTCTCTCTAAAAATCAATGGGAAAATATTGGGTGAGGATTTAAAAAAATAATTCTTTCATAAGGTAATTCCTCCTGGGTTATCTTTTAGGGGGGAAATTGAGACTTTAAAATACAATACTGGCCCTGGCTGGTGTGACTCAGTTGGTCGAGCGTTGTCCTGTGCACCAAAAGATTGCTGGTTCAATTCCCCATCAGGGCACATAACCAGGATGCGGGTTCGATCTCTGGTTGGGTGTGTACAGGAGGCAACTGGTCGATGTTTCTTTCATATTGATGTTTCTCTCTCCTTTCCTCTTTCTAAAAAAATCAATAAAAATATATTTTTTAAAAATACAATGCTGGGACAACAGCAAAGGTGGGCGCTTCCCCCAGACTGATTCCCCTGCCACCTGCCTCAACGTGCAGGGAGCGCTAGAGGTACACTGCCTGCCACTATAGTTGGGAGATGGACCAGTATGGATAATGTGTGGCCACCAAGCCCTGGGAACGGGACTGTCACCACCTCAAGATGAGCGTTGCTCGATGCACCTCCAACCACCCAGTTATCCATCAGCTCTGCCAAGCCTGTGCGGAGCCCTTTGAGGCCTTCAAGGAGTGTCTGCCGCGGAATGAGGCAGCTACAGGCAACTGTGTGGAGCAGGTGCGCCACTTCCTGCAGTGCGCTGAGCAGGTGCAGCCCAGAACCCACCCACAACTGTGCTGGCACAGCCACTTCCTGCCTCCTGATGACTCTGGGCCATATGAAAACTGGACAGGAGTGACTGGCCACTTACTGACCCTAGCCCTGAAGCTTGAATGACCAGCTGCTGTACTGAGGGTCCTGGATGTAGGCCTAGTTTCTGGATATCAGGATTCACAATGAAGACTGTGTACGTTTTTTTAAAAAAAAATTTAAGCCACAATATTGTATTTGTCTAAATCCAGGCAAGTCTTGTTGAAATACTGTGGTTTTGTTAAAAACAAAAACAGAAGTTCTGATCTGTTAGAGATATATGCCAAAGTACTCATAGGTAACATTATGTTGCCCAGCATTTGTTTTTAAATACCTGAGTAAAAAAAGAACAGATACAATATGATAGCTGTTGAAGCAGTGAGGGTGTTCACTGGACTAATCTCTCGACTTCTGTGTGTGTGTTTGCATATTTCCAACTAATAGACTTAACATGCTCAAAATTGAACTTGAGTTTTCCCACCTACCACCACTCCACTAATAGCCTCCCCCATTTCAGTTAATGGCAATTCTATCTTTCCAATTGCTCAGACCAAAAACCTTGTAGACATCTTTACCTGCTTTCCTTTGTTCACACCCCCACATCCAATCAGTCCAGAAATCATACTTGCTCCATGTTCAAAACAGATTCAAAATATGGCTCCTTTTCACCATTCCATTGCACAACCCCAGTCCAGAATACCATTCCCTCGCCTGGATTACTACAATAGCCTCTTAACTGCTTACCCTACTTCCCATCTTCCCGACTGCTCAGAGTCCATTTACAACACCAGAATAAAGAGCAATCCTTTTGAACATAAGGTAGATCACAGCTCTCCTGTTTTAAACTCTTCAATAGATCCCTACTCTATTCAAAGTACAAGATCTACAAGGCCTAGAACAGTGATGGCGAACCTATGACACGTGTGTCAGAGGTGACACGCGAACTCATTTTTTTTGGTTGATTTTTCTTTGTTAAATGGCATTTAAATATATAAAATAAATATCAAAAATATCTTTGTTTTACTATGGTTGCAAATATCAAAAAATTTCTATATGTGACATGGCACCAGAGTTAAGTTAGGGTTTTTCAAAATGCTGACACGTGGAGCTCAAAAGGTTCGCCATCACTGGGAACATCTGGGCCTCGTTACCTTCCTGTCCTCATTTCTCACTATTTTCACTTCTTCCATCTAAACTGGCTCCACAAGCAAGCCAAGCCTGCTTCTATCTCAGGGTCTTTGTGGTGATCATCCTCTCTGCTTTCCCCTCAGATAGCTGCACTGCTCATTCCCTCATGTCCTTCAAGTCTTTGCTGAAATGTCACCTTCTCAATGAGGCCTACCCTGACCATTTCTAACTCAGCACACCTCATCCTTTTTCCTTGCTTTATTTTTCTCCCGTTTTATTACTTTCCTACAGACTATATACAGGATAATTCACTCATTTGGATTAAGTTCTGTCTCCCCCACTGGAATGGTAAGTCTGTTTCAGACAGGCACTGCTTTATCTCCAGTAATTAGAAGTTTCTGGAATACGGGACTCAGGAAATATATGCTGAATAGGAGGAAATTATGGGAAAATGTCAAAACATTTGCTAAAATAGAAACATAGACAATGAGTGGGCAATGAAGATAAGAACTAAATAAAATTCCTTGTAAAAATAAGGGAACATCTTTCATTTCTAAAACAATTGGAATTTAAGGAAGGACAAAAAGTACTCTCCCATTTTATGGATGGAGAAATGAGGGCCCCGGGAAGCTTGCTGTCCAATGAGTCGATGTTTAAGCTTTCCAGAATGTTTCCAGCTGGTTTATGATTCTAACTAGTGAGTCTGCCAAATACCCCTTTCTGGCACACTGCACAGTCTCTATACAGCTACCCTACCAAAGCAGCGAGCCTTCCCTATCCCTAAAACGCCACCTGATAGTAACACTAGCCACTGAGCCTGAGATTTCAAAGCCATCCAATTTACCTCTCTGGTTCATCCTATCGTTTCCTATTTCAGCTTCACTAGCCTGGACTTGGAATTAAGTAGGTGTCCACATGTAGGTCATTTGGGAAGCTGAAGGCAGGAAAAGATATAAGCTCCCAAACCCAGGATCGTGTCTGAACCGGACACCAGTGCTTCCAGCACCACACAGAAGCTAAAGAGGAGCTGAACCTCCCAACCCTTACTCTGACAGCTCAAAGTAGGGTGAGGCACACCTTTTATTACAAGAGTTTACAAATAGATTACAAAAAAAAAGGATACACTCCCCATCCCCTCCCACAGATGGGAATGTGGGCTACCCTCCACAACTGGTGACATTTATACTCAGAGCCTGGAGCTGAGACAGGCTGTCTTCATCAATCCTTGGGCCAGTGCGCCTAAATCCAGAACCTGCTGGGGGGATTATAGGAGCTCCAGAAAGGAAGAGATCTCTTAGGCAGGAGGTCCGGGAAGCATGTTCCTGAGGTTCAAGGCACAGTGTTGGAGAAAAGACCCCTGGATGTAGAGAAGGAAGGGTCCTTCTCTGGCATCAACAGCAATGAAGTTTACTGGCTAAAATCATCCTGAATTGGGGGAGGAGGGCAGCTTTATACATAAATCCCTTCTAGTTTCTTGTTCTCAAATCAGGTGAGTTGGCAGCTTATCTCTCTTTTTAAATCTCCTTGGCTTTCAGTTGAGTTGGTGGCTTGTATAGTAGAAAAAGGAAGAGTTGGCAATAGTAGGACAGTGAAGCTTGGAGGCTGGACCCCAGGAATCTGGGATCACGTGCTGTGGGCTGGTCTCAGGAGATGAATGAGTTTCATGCAGTGTTTGGCAGAGGCAGGCCTGGGACTGCTGTGCGGCAGTAACTGATTCCCCAGAGAGAGCAAGGCTAATTTCTCACTGGCACCCAGGGACACCAGCACCTGTGGGAGAGAGAGCAGATGACACAACAGGACATGCAGAGGACTCTCATCTGGACTAGCAATTCCTACTCCAGAAAAGGGAAAAAAAAGGGGGGGGGGGCTCTTGGGGACTCAAAATAAACTGTGTGATAAAAGAGAAACCTTGGAAGCAGAAACTTCATCAGAGGTCTATTTCCATTCTCTTTGGTTATAGACCATGAAATCAAGGCACTAAGGGATCCAAGCATTTGTCCCCAGGAAGAGGAAATGAATGCAGCAGTGACAGTAAACCAGTGATTCCCAGCTGTGGATCTGGACCAGTGGTTTTTAACCTCATTACCACCGAGAATCCTTTTTATTACATCCCCACTTGCATTGCCAGAAAATCCTATAATATGTATCACCACTATCCTGTCAAATTTCTGTTCTGCATGAGCCACCCGATGCTACTATACTGAGCTATTATAACTTGGAGATTTAGCCTTTCATAGGTAGATGTGTGACTTCATCGGGCTATATATACTGAAAATTGAGCAAAAAGAATAAAGCAGTGGTTAAGAGTATAGGTTCTGGACTCAGACTCTTGACTTCAAAAGTTTAACCCTATATACTAGCTTTTAACTTGGACAAGTTATTAAATTCTTTGTGCCTCAGTTTCATAGCCTGCAAAAGGAGGACTATAACAGCTTAAACCAGGTATTACAGGTAAAATGCTTAGCATGGTGCCTTTAACATGGCAAGTGTTAAAACCACCCTGTACCTCAACATTTCCAATCTTCCCCCACCTCCCTCTCAGGTGGCTTCTAGAAAAGAGAAACAGTGGTCCTGAGATCCCAGGCATTTCTCAGCCCAATGGAGCCCTCTTCCGGGTCCCTTCCAGTCTCTGTGGTGAGAGATGGTAGATGGAAAACTCATTTCCAAGACACTGCCCCTGAGTGTCCTACTCCCAAAGAGGGACAGAGTTGGATTTCTGGATGTTCCAATTCCTTAAAGACTACCTCAAGAAACTGTTGTGCAATACAACCCCATCATTGTGGTTCCTAAGTCCCCTGGAGTGTACCTGATGGATACAGGGCTCCTGGCTGAGGCTCCGAAGGGCAATGAGGGCGGCCTCCTTCACATGTGGCTGGGGGTCTCCACACGCCATCTCCAGCAGCCGTTGGGGTACTTGACACTGTAACAGCTCTTCTCCCAACCCCTCAGGTCCCAAGTTGCCCAGAGCTGACACAGCATGGCGCCGGATACCAGCCTGAGGATCTCCAAGCAGCTGGGTCATACAGGGTACCGCAGCTGCCAGGGCAGGTCCCAGCGGACCAGCTTGATAGGCTGCATTACCCACAGCAAAGCTGGCACTGCGCCGCACAGCAGGGTCCTTGTCTCCAAGCCCCAGCAGCAGAAGGCTGAGCAGTCCAGCCTGGCTCTGCAGTGCCCCACGCAGGGCCATGCTGTGTTGGAGCAAATGTCCCAGGAGCCCATAAATGCGGGCCCGCACACAATTCTCTGGGTGACCCAAGAGGCTACGCAGGGGCCTATAGGATTCATCGGAGCCAGCAAGGAGTTCTTGGATAAAGGACAAGTGACTGGGAGGCAGAACCCGGGCTGTGTGGGCCAACAGAGAGAGAAGGTCAGAGGTCAGCAGTGGCTGGTCACCTAGAAGGGCAACTGAGAGGAATGAGATGATGGTTCCAGGGGAGGCAGCCACTGTGTTCACAAACTGGTTGAGAGAGGTGGGATCCCTGAGGGCCAGGTGTGTGAGGAGACTGATGGGCAGCTCCACTTGTGGCAACAGGAGATGATGACAGCAGACCTAGGAGAAGGTGGGGAGGGGAGCAGCAAGAGTGGTTCAGAGAGAGGGAGAGTACACTGTAGCTTGATAGCTAGGAGCCCAAAATCTGGGAGAAAAGCCAAGCTATGGTGAGAAACACTACAGAGAGCTGAGAGCGATGACCCACGGTGCTCCATGGGAGACACAATGTGGACTCCAAGAGAATAAGTCCTCTCCTCGTTCACTCCTTGCTCTGCTTGTCAAGGACCCACTGTTTAATGCCAAGAACTGCCAGCAATTCCTGGCTCAGGAGCTGAGTCTCCAGCACCTAGACTGGGATGTTCTCCCCACCAAGCTCCAATGGAATTCAGATAAGGGACTGATGCAGTTACCAGCCCCAGTTCCAACCACACACCTCTGTTCAGGCCTGAATGCTTTCTCCACTCCAACTCTTACATCAAACCAGATGCTCCACTCTTACAGGGGCCATGGAGAGCCCTGGAGCTGTTGGAAGTGAATTAGAGTGTACAAGGTCGCTGGCCATCTTCCTCTCCCACCTTCATGCCTCCAAAGTACCTGCAGCAGGTGGGCCGTGACTGCTGAGTCTGTTAGGTTAGCCAAGATACCCCCAAGGAGGTCAGCATCCACATCCAGGGCAAAGGGGAAGCAGAGGAGCTGGCAGACAGAGAGCACCACGACGGGGAGAAACTCAGACCCGTGAGGCCTAAGGAGGTGAGTGTGGAAGGATTTACTCGGCCTTGCTCACTCACCCTTTATTATCTCCCCCTTTTCAAATTTCCTAGTCCAGCCCTCCTTCCCCAATCTCAGCATACCATTTCTTGCCTCATAGCTCAAGCTGTCAGCTATTTCTTTCCTGCCTTCCCCTCCTCACCCCCCACTGCAGATTCTGGCTCTTCGGGTCTCCCTCCTCTAGCTCAAACTCACGCCTGGCCCAGCTGCTGTAGGAAGCTGGGGGAAAGCAGATGCTTCAAGGTGGACATGAGGATACTTCCATGCTGAGACAGGTGGCGCAGGCATAACTGGGACTCCTGGGTAAAGGTGGCCACAGCCAGGCTCAGCATGGCTGCCACACCTGGAAATACCAAGAATGAAGAAACCAGTGGAGCAGACAAGAAGCCCAGATACTCCTGCTTCCCCATGTCTCCCAGAGCTACCATCTATTCAGTCCCTTCCCATCCCAGGCAGCGGCAGCAGCAGTCTCCATGACTACTCTAGTTCTAGGCTACTACTCTTGAAGAGGGATCAATACACTGGTCCCATAAAGGAGGCCATGCAGACGAAAAGCTACCTTGGGGTGAGATCAGTGTCCAGTCTGGCTCTGAGCTTGAGCTATGTGGACTCGACAGCGTTAGCTCCTCTTCCTGTGTAGATACCTCCTTGGAGAGCCTCAGAGCCATGGAGAAACGGTGCCACAGAACGGTCCACATTTCTGAGCTAACCATGTCCCTTATCAGGTTAGCTTTCCCCTCCTGGAGACAAAATTGAAAATAGATGGGTGGGGAGGTCAAAGTCAGGAGTCAAATGCCTTTTTTCCACTCCTGTCTTTGACCTACGAGGATAGGAAGTCCCAGAAACAATCCCTTTTGTTTTCCCAGCTAGGATTTCCCTGTTATCTTAGTTCCCTTTCTTACCACATTTTAATCATGTGTACATCTGCTGGAAACCAGGAAATTACTCTTTCTCCCCACTGAATCCTAAGGGATGCATCTGAGTAGTTCCCTTTAAAGGGTCCATACTGAAGGCAAGTGGGCCCCTTCTAAAGCCATCACAAGCATAGTAGTTTGTGGATTGCTTCTTCATTCCTAATGTCCAGCTGCTCCCTAAAACGCCCAATTTCTCTCTCCTTCCTTTCCATTTGCCCTAAGCCGTAGCTGTACCTGGGTGAGGAGCTGCAACAGAAGGGTGAGTAGGCCGTCGTAGAACCCACAGCCATCAGGTGGAGTCAACCGGACCTGCAGGGGAGAGGCAGGAAGAATGCAGATCTGAGAGGCATGAGGTGGCCTCACAGTCTGTGCACCAACTCCTGGTCAGGCAGAAGGAGCTCTTCCTCAGCCTGGTGTTCTGGGGAGAGCTCTTATGAACTTAGAGGAGTCTTGGTTCCTGCCTATTTGGTCAATGACTACCTCTGTCCTAAAGACACACAGTCTGGCAGGGTAAGCAGACGTGGAAACAATTATAGTTTAGGAAGATACTTCCTAAACAAGAGGCTAGGGTGGAGGTGGAAGTTCACAGCTAAGAGTACCTAACTTTGCCCTGGCTGGTTTGGCTCAATGGATGGAGCATCGGCCTGTGGACTGAAGGGTCCCAGGTCTGGTTCCGGTCAAGGGCACATGCCTGGGTTGTGGACTCGATCCCCAGTGGGGGGGCGTGCAGGAGGCAGCGATCAATGATTCTCTCTCATCATTGATGCTTCTGTCTCTCTCCCTTCCTCTCTGAAATCAGTAAAAATATATATTTTAAAAAAAAAAAGAGTACCTAACTCTGCCTCCAGGAGGTAGGAAACTGATGGGATTAAACATTTAAAAGACATATAAAAGAAAGTGGAGGTAGGGAGAACATTCCAAGTGGAAGTCACAGCACATACAAAGGCAGTCACGGAAGACCAAAGTGAATTTTGGAAATGGTAACTCTTTTGGTCTAGCAGGATTACAGAGCCTAGAGGTAACAGATGGGCTCTCAGTAGCCTGCTAAAGAATTTGGGGTTTATCCCAGAAGCAGTGGGAAGCCACCGAGGAATCACACAAGCTCCACATGGGCAAAACAGATTTTTGTCTCTTTTACTCACGGCCATATCCTCAGAACCTAGAATAGTGTCTGGTACTCAATACCTATTTATGTGTTAAGTAATTACTGGTTAAACAAATGACCAAATTTTCCTTTATTGAAAGCTCACTCTGGTGGCAGTGAAGAAAATGGACTGGAAAAGAGCCTAGAAGAGAACCTTTAGAGCAGCAGTTCTCAACCTGTGGGTCGCGACCCCTTTGGGGGTTGAACGACCCTTTCACAGGGGTTGCCTAAGACCATCGAAAAACACATATATAATTACATATTGTTTTTGTGATTAATCACTATGCTTTAATTATGTTCAATTTGTAACAATGAAAATATATCCTGCATATCAGATATTTACATTGCGATTCATAACAGTAACAAAATTACATTTATGAAGTAGCAACGAAAATAATTTTATGGTTGGGGGTCACCACAACATGAGGAACTGTATTATAGGGTCGCGGCATTAGGAAGGTTGAGAACCACTGCTGTAGAGGCAAGTGTCGAAGTCCCTCTTTAGAAGCCTAGAGCAGGGGTCCTCAAACTTTCAGACCGTTGAAGGGCCGGACTATAGTTTAAAAAAAAAAACTATGAACAAATTCCTATGCACACTGTACATACCTTATTTTGAAGTAAAAAAACAAAATGGGAACAAATACAATATTTGTATTTGCATGTGGCCCGCGGGCCGTAGTTTGAGAACCCCTGGTCTAGAGTGTTAACAGCAGGTCTAAAGCCCTGACCAGTCTGGGCTCAGAGGAGTCACTTACCTGGAGGCAGAGGGGAGGAAAGATTCCTTGATTCCTTTGTCACTTTTTAGTTTACTCTAGACTGGCTGGCATTTCCGTCTTTTCCCCCTAATTCCAGTCCTTTTTGGCTCAGAGAAAACATGTCTATGCATTACCTAGCCGATCTCACCTCAGCAGGGGCACACAGGGCATGAGTGGCTGCAGGGATCCACTCCACAGGCTGGAGGTCAAAGGTCACCCCTTGCTGTCCAAGCTGTCCCAGTAAACACGCCGCTGCACTCTGGAGAGTTAGAGGAGGAGAAGAAATGGTATTCAGCACACGCAGAGAGGACTTAGGTCTCTGTCCTAGACCAGAAGAATACTGCATAAGCAGCTGCAAAGGGGACAATGACTCCCCTATTCCCCAAAAGGTTGGATGATAGGGGAAAAAGATAAAGGTTGAAAACTCACCACAAGAGAGACGACGTGTGAATGGGTAAAGAGAATAGCAGTCTCACTGCCTAGATTCTCCATTCTGGAATAAAGAGATATAGCAAGGGATGCAGCAGTGTGAAAGGAGACCAGTGATTGGCCTTCCCTCTTTCTTGGAAGACACTCTCCACCTAGGCTGCATGTCCAACTCCAAGTCACAAAGCTGGTGGGAATCCAGGTCTATTCTTTGTACAGAAACCTTCACTCTCTATCGCAATCTCTCCTAAGGATAGGCTGTTCTATGCCAGGGTGAGTTCTGTAGGTAGAAAATTTCAGTGGACAGATCCTACTTTATGACTCACCCAGAAGGCAGATCTTGGAGCCGAAGGACAAGAAGGGAGAGGAGGTAGAGTGTCACTTCAGTAGACTCTTCCCAATCCACTACCTTTATCTACAAAGGAAACTTAAGGTATCAGAGCAACCTCTGGTTGAGATGGTGGGGCCACCATGAGATGCCCACCTGTGTTGCTGGCCTACCTTGCCCTGGACCAACATCAACAATGACTTCAAGGCCAGGGGCTCTTGCCCTAAACGACGGCACAGGCGTTCACTAACGTGGCAGCAGGAGTAGAGAACCTAAGGGAGTATGGAGGAGTCTCTCAGTGAGCAGAGCAGCACCTGGGCTCCTAGGCTAGAAGGCTCAGTTGAAAGCAGGCTAGCCTCTCAAGAGATCTGGTACCCACACCTGAGGAAATGAGAGAAGCTTGGGCCACTCTGCCTCTTGATGTAAGACAGCGGTTCTCAACCTGTGGGTCGCGACCCCTTTGACGGTCGAACGACCCTTTCACAGGGGTCGCCTAAGACCATCCTGCATATCAGATATTTACATTACGATTCATAACAGTAGCAACATTACAGTTATGAAGTAGCAACGAAAATAATTTTATGGTTGGGTCACAACATGAGGAACTGTGTTTAAAGGGCCAGAAGATTGAGAACCACTGCTGTAAGATAGTAGATAGGGATACTTCTCAGTTCTGGTGAGGACTGACTAACAGTGGGACCTTCTACGTTGAAAAGACTTAAAAGCAAAAAGGGGTCTTGCAAGGGGTCTCTCCCTTAGTCCTGGGGGTTAAAAAGAGATCTGAAGTGCCCAGAGTTACAGGCAGGCAGTACCTTAAGAAGGTGTAGGCACAGGATGGGATGCTGCAGACCACAGATGAGAGATGGCCTCAGTTGGTTGTTGTCTTCAGTGAGCTGATTTGCCAAATGCCGAGAGATCTATAGGGACATTCCTGAAGACTCAATCCTATTCTCATTACTCCAATCCTATCTCCAACTAA